AAGTTTGTCCAAGTAAAGTCATTTTTTTTTATAATCTATTTATTGAATAATAATACAATCAGCCACTGCTGGAGGGCTATAAGCATTAGGGCTAAAAGTTCTCATTCATACAATATATACAAATAATAAATAAATAAATATAAATATAAGAAGAAAATAAATAATACTGATGAAGAAGGTAAATAAAAAGAAAAAGAAGAAATAATAATAATAAACAAATAAAATAAAATAAAAACTTCTAAACACAATCATAACTATATACAATATATACATTCGCCCAAGAATCTCCGAACCAGGCTTTTTCCCACACGTGGAAGGCAAAGCAAGACTCCGGAAGATCCCAGTGCCACTTTTCCAGCCGCATCACTAGTATTAGAAGAAGTAAAGTCCTAGATAGCGGATTTGTTCAACAACGATAAGCGGAATATTATTGAAGAATACTGTATGACAAGCAGTCATACGTTTAGGACGGAGGTCAAAGGTAATTTGATGGGGTTTATTATAATTTATATTTATTCTCCAGTTTTTACACCTGATTGGAGACGATACGACTTCAATGGTTTGGTGGACACTCGAAGTTCTACTCCATATGGTATTATGGGCCTTATTATAGTCATGTAAATAAGCCTCAGATAAGTAACTGAAAGTTTACAGTGCTTATCTAGTAAGTTTTAAAGCAGCTGGAATAATTAAAATGTAAAATGACTACTACATGATTTGATACGATGTGTTACTATATGATTTTTAAACTCTGGTGAAGAGCTGAAATTTAGATCGATAAGTTGGCACAAAAAATTTTTATTTTTATTATTATTTATTTTTATTTAGCGTTTCTCACCGATTTTACATCTCTTTTCATTTTGATGATGATTTTTTTTAACTCCACGCATATTCTTTAGTACATAAGTCGAAATGAAATATATATAAAAATTATTTATATTTCATTTTTGTACTTTCATGCCGTATGCTTACTTTAATTCATAAATTAAATCAGTCAAGGGGCTTAATATAATTAAGCTGAAACTCTAAAGAAGGGAAAACAATAACAGTAATAAAATTAAATTAAAAATTTCTTGTGAATTAAGTTGAGAGAAACTGTTTCTTGAGATCCGCTTTTTCCATTAAATGTAAATTCAGAGGGAGGCTTAAGCACTCTCTTAACCTGAAGTTACCGAAGAGGAAGATAATTCCCACAGAAATTAAACATTAAAACTCATGAAGTTAATTATTAAATATTAATATTGAAAAAGTACCATTAGTTTCATTTCAGTTATTATCATTCATATTTACTTCACATATTTTTTAAAATTCGTAGTATATTATTTAACTTTTGCATTAAGGGAGATGATGTTTATTTCATGTGGTTGTAAGCAGACATGGCTGAAAATATTTTAATTATTATTTTGAAAGAAAGTATTTAAAATACAGTGCATATTAATTACTAAGTATTTAATTCAAAAAATCAATTACAGAATACTAAATGCAGTATTCTGCGCAGAACGCAAAAAGTACAGTTGTAAACAATCCATTTAATCATTTATTTTTTAAAATGCTTTTTATTTTGTATTTTAAAATAACTTATTTGAAATACTGTCCAATTCTGGTTGTAAGTGATCATGAGACGAATAAAAATAAAAATAATAAAATGAAGTTTATTTGTACCGAATTTTACTGTCTAAATTATTATTAAAAACATTTGAACTCATAGAGAATTTCAATTGAAGAATAAATGAATATGAGAGTGTCATGTTTTATGTCAAGATGTTTGTATGTGAGTGACTGAACATAGGGCTGTGAATAATATAATTTTATTATAAATTATTTGCAATTGTCCATAAAAATATATCAAGCTGATGACCATGTTTGCTCAAACATCCTGAATGCTGAACAATCAATAAGGAAGTTTAATTTTGTAGTTTCATCGATGTTGATATAATGATTCAATAATAAAATTAAAAATCACTACTACTGGTGATGGTTAATACTTGAAAGTCCGCGGTATCAAATTATTAACATCCGCCTTTAACTTCGTGAATGGCTTCATCTCATTGTAACCTTCAACTTTTTTTATTTACGAAAATTTTTGGAATAGGGGCGTTATAAATCTGGAGATCGGCAAAATTTGCCTATTTAATTAGGTACTACAAACTCACGAACACCCATTTTCTTTCTACTTGAATCGGAAGATAATTTGGTGACAAAATCGAGAAAAAAAAAATGGCCAGCAAAAATATTAAGTCGGTTGGTGTGATCTTTACCCCCATGTTAAAATAAGAAGGTTACATAGGTCAAACGACCCAGTATTTTTTTTCGAATTAGTGATCAAATTATTTGAAGGCTCATTTGGAAAGCAAATGAGTATTTATGAGTTTTTAGTTCCTCATTAAATTGATTAATTTTAAACTCACCATTTATCGGAATTTTCTTAGATAAAAAATCGAAAAGATGAAGCCGTTTAGGAAGTTTTAGGCGGATGCAAATAATTTGAAAAAAGGAGTCGATACTGTAGACTATTACTTTCATTATATTTTAAAACCTAACTGATTTTTCTATAACAAAAAAAATAGAGATAATGACGAAGGAGGTTGGCAATTTATAAGTTATAGAATTTTAGATTTATAATGTTGTATATATATATATTATTTTTTTCACAACAATTGTTAATACAAAATATATTTTTCTCAAAATGATCATTACTTTCTATATCATTTTTTTTCTCAAAGAAAAGTTTTTGAAATATATTTTTAAATTATACTACGAAATATAACTTATTAAATTATCCTAATTATTATTATTATTTTCCTCTAAATTTTGGACAACTTTCTCTCTAATAAATCAAGATTTTGGATCATTTTATTTAGAAACTCTGATTTCATATATTAATTTTACAAATTCTGAAACATTTTTCATTAAAATATTAAATTTATGAAAGATGAGTATTATTTTAAATAAAATATTTATCAATGTTTTTATTCAATGAAGGCTTTTTTTAAAATTGTGATATAGAAATTTTATGCACACCGAAGAAGCACAACAACTATACTATAATGCAGTACCAAGAATTGACAACTTATTTTTGTCGACGGGATCGAAAGCAGTTTCAATGCCAATCATATGTTTACTATCCTATTAATACAGAAAAATAATATACGTCCCTTGTGGGGATCGAACCCACGACCTTTGGATTAGAAGTCCAACGCGCTATCCACTGCGCCAAAGGGACTTCAGCTTGTTAAGCAAGTGATCTGTATTTTCCTGACAATATGTTGCAGTAATAGTATTTCTAAGTTTTCTTATGTTTTAATTTTTTGCAATGGTAAATAACTTCAAAAATACTTGTATTCCATTTAGATATGTTTTCCTGCTTCTTTATTTGAATTTTTTTTCAACTAATTTACAAATATTATGTATTATAGGAGTTTCCTGAATCATAATTTTAAGCTATATTTACTTTGGAAAGATTCTTAGATGTATAATCAAATATAACAATTCATATAGTTTTCTGTTTTTCTCTTTTAATCTCTCTCTCTCTCTCTCTCTCTCTCTCTCTCTCTCTCTCTCTCTCTCTCTCTCTCTCTCTCTCTCTATCTATCTCTCTCTCTCTCTCTCTCTCTCTCTCTCTCTCTCACTCTCTCTCTCTCTCACACACACTCACTCACACACACACACACACACACACACACACACACACACACACACACACACACACACACACACACACACACACGCACACACACACAGAAGTGGATACATTACGAAACAACTTACATTATTTTATATGATATTGACATTTTTCTTACATTAATAGGGAATCAGTCAAACTGAATGTTTTTCATCTCTTATGAGAAATAAATAATAAGTGGTCTTGGATTGCATATATAATTTATTTGGAATGGACCACTTAATCATTACTTTTCTCTTATTTGAATAGCTAAGAATTTTCTATTACAATTACCATGTGTTTTATTCTTGGAGAAAGGAATTGCTTGGAAGGAATTTTTAATCAAAAGCTTTTAAATTCGAAAATTTATAAAGAGCTAAAAAAAAAAAAAAATCAGTCATACCGAAGCGCTTTAAAAAATATTTTTTTCCTCATGGGAGTTGACACACTACATTTTTATTTAAATAATTGGTTACATTGTGTAGATTGTTTTTACTCTACAACACTTCTATTCCAAGATGGGGGTCTAAAACTATCATTCTTGGCAATGGTTTTAATGTATCATCAATTTCATTTTATTAATTTGGTTGGACTTTACTGTGTTTATGTTAGTAGGTAACTGCAAGACTCTTGTGCAAGAACAAGACTGAATGAGCAAGGGTATGGAATTTGAATTGAAATTTGTGTTTCGAGGTGCAAAATACAAATATCAACTCCGTTCCTCATTAAAAAATATTTGTACCCACTTTTCGTCTTCACTCGGTACAAATTGTTTCAAATTTACAAATTTCTAGCCGATCACAATGATTTTATTGTTTTTGTTCTGTAAGGAATTTTTTATTCTCTTAAATTATCATGGTTGCAATGAACAAAAAATATATCTTTTTTTTAGTTATTCGTAAATAAAATTTCTTTTCCTTTCTTACTTTTTTTTCTGAAATTTCGGGGGATATTACTATTTCTCCACACCTAGGAGAAGAAAATCTTGAGGGTGAGGGGTCAGCCATTGGATTTAATGCAGAATTAACGAAGATATGGCGCAACGAAAAAAAAAAAAACCTTGAGAAATAATGTACATAGATATTTTTGAAGAAACTTTTTGTAAACAGTTTCACGACATGAGAATAAAAACTATTATGACCGCAACCCCTGACCATCTCCTTCCTTTATAATGCAACGGTCAACTATTAAATACTCAATATTTTATTTTTTATTAGGAAAGATAATGTAAAATTTACTTGCAATAAAGCTATCTACCTATCTATTAAAATAATCTAAAAGGCGATTAATATCGAGAGGGCAGAGAACCATGGGCTATCCCCCACTCCACCCCCGAACTCAGAAGTGACTAGGCCTCCGCCGTGTGCTGTTCTAGTGATGGCGAACCGAAAGTGGATCCTGCTCATCTTCATCCTCTACGTAGTGGTGCTCCCGTTGGTCTATATTATGAAAGAAGGGATGAAGCAAGAGTTCGCCGAATTGCAGGAGGAACGCAGGGCAGACATGGACTCCTTCTACAACTACATAGTTTTCCTCCTCTCCTTCCAAGCCTTAGTTCGATCCGTCGGGAACTACAACTTGTACGGTCCGGGTCGACGTGGCAACAACCTCCGTCCCAGGTTAACTTGGTCAGTATTCGCGAACATGTTTTTTTCCTATGTGTTTTTTCTCGTTACTAACCTCTGGGGTTTGGAATTGTTTCATGCGTTGAAAGAAGCGAAACAACAACGTGAACTCAAAGTGTGCAAGAACCTGACTAGAATCGCCTATACCACAGGACTTTACTGTTATGATTTCATTCCGAAATATTTGAATTATTATGATTTCATCGAAGAGGTTGAGGTTACTGTGGAGTCTTGTTTGAAATAACCATATTTCAAACATTGTGCTCATTTTTAATACTGTTTGTTCAAAGATTAATATTCTTGTCAGACAGTATAAGAACGGAGAACAGTAATATCAGTGATAAGTGTCACAAAATGCCTAAAGCTTAATCATTAAAATTAATCTTTTAAAGCATATTTTTAGTCAACAGTATGATATATATATATATATATATATATATATATATATATATATATATATATATATATATATATATATATATATATATATAATATATATATATATATATATATATATATATGTATATATGTATATCAGATTATGATTGCATTTAGTTAGCTTTATTATCTAGGTTTAATATATACATTTTTAATTATATAAACGTTGAATTTTTCTTTACATTGTAAAATTTATAAACATGTTTACAAAATTTGATATTCTATTTTCTACAATATTGCTGTCATATATTTTTAAAATAATGGTTTCACATTTATCTAAAATACTAGATCATTAGTTGTTTGCTGTTTACATTATTTGATATATGTATTGATTAAAAAAATAAGATAATGTTTTTCTTGAATTAAATAGATTAAATGAAAACTTCTTTACTCTTTTATCCTTTATATTTATTTTAATAAACCATAACGCTTGATCACAGTTGATAATTTCTTTCAGCTTAATGACCCTTAGTCTGTTTTCATAACTTATGAATTGGTCTGTTTATTATACAAATTTAAGGTTAATAACATAGTAAATAGGGCATTCTTACTTTAATTTTGGTGAATCTTGAGTTTTATCTGAATATGTAGAACATTTTGTATAAATAACTCTCTCCTTTAGTCTATAAATCTGTGATTATATAAACATATATGTTTGTTTTATTTCTGTTTATCCATGAAAAATATATGAATTACTATAATTATGGTGTTTTTTTTAAATTATTTAAAAAAATAAATTTTTCTCAAATTACAATTCAATAGTAAGTTAAGAAAAGTGAGTTGAGTTAATTTTAATGCAATTTTTTATTCAAAATATATATAGAGATTTATTTATTAAAAATAATAACAAAAAAAAAAACCAATAACTCTAAAACCCACACAGGGTTTTGGGTTCAGTACTATGTAAGCAAGTACTGTTTCTTGGTCAAGGGTTGTGCATGGAGGTGATTTGACCAAGATCACTCTCAATCGCCAGGTTTTTCATCCTTAATTAATTATTGGTACCCACTTCATTGAGACTGGGATGAGTGAGGGAGCCCCCAGGAGGCTCTCCCGACCCCAGGTTCGATCATGGCTGGATGAAAGAGAATAAATAATTACCTGCCATCAACTGGAATCAAACCCGGGACCTTGAGCTTTAGAATTCAGTGCTCTACCCGCTAATATACCCTAATACTTTTATTAAAAATGATACATAACTGGAATGAATCAAAGAAATGTAATGATTATTCTTTTGTGGGCAATCATCAAAAAATTATTCAATTGAATTAATCACTTTAATTTTTTTTTGTCTTTCATAAATTAAATGTAAAATAAAAATATTAGTAATAGGATAGCTTTAAATATTTAGTTTGATATGCCAGAAATCATTGCTAAATTAAAGGGTCTATTGGATAAAATTATGTGACATCTTTAGGAAACATTAAATTATTTTTAAACTTAAAGATCTTTTTCATTAAAATTATTTACTCGGTTTCCAATGACTTCGGTAAGTTGATACAGTAAAAGATAATGTCGTTCGATACCTCAAATTTTTTATCTCATTTCAACTAATTAGAGTTTGAGTCCTTTGATCTCTGATCGGCTCCTTTATCGCCAATTATAGTGTGTGGAGGTTACTAAAACAATATTATTTCTTGACTATTTTTAATTAGTTTCAAGTTCATAAGTTGATTTTTTTTTTATAGAATGTGTTATATGGCCATGTATTTTGCAGTCCCTTGATTACAGATAAGGAATCGGTCAAAATGACTGATTTTTCAATATTGGTGTTGATTGCCTATTTAAATGCCTTGAAAATCGATCACGTTTCGCTTGTGAGAATAGAATTATGGTTATTTAATTTCCATTTGATTATATGGTTTTGGGTTAGAATAAAGGATCCAACACCATTCTCTGATTTTGAACCGTCCATGAAAATTAACTCATGATCATGAAATAATTTATGGACAATTTCATGATACCTATACCTAATTTAAATATATAATAATGTATATATATAATATAATATATATATATATATATATAATATAATATATATATATAATATAATATATAATAAAAGTAAGATAAGAGAAGCTCTGAAAATACCCAAGTCAATAAAATGTAATATAGGCCGGACAGGAGTCACGTATGCCATGAATGGATGTATCCGTGGCAAAGAGCGGGTCATCTTCATGGCTACGATATCAGGGCTGAATCAGCCATCTCGAGTCCCGATACCAAGGATAAAATGAAAAATGTCTTCAATAAGATACCCTTTGAATAAATCTGTCTGCCGTAGTATACAAGAGAGAAATACTTTATTAAAAGTAATACTGCCCTACTACATAGGGTTGCTTCGTACACAGCATACTTATCAATCCATACGGACATTAATTTTACATTATATTTTTCTATTTTTTATATCTATATATGACATATCTTTCCTTTCTTTTTTTTCTCCCCTACTGTAATATAATATCATAAGGAATAATGTAAGGCTAACACATTTTTTATTATAACATTAAACAGAGTACAAGCACCAACTCGGACTTGAAGAAAGCATCTAAAGAGTAGAACTAAGTAGGCATATTCGTTAAAAATGTGTGAGCTAAAGAGGATGCAATGTCTGTACTCCATATGATTTTTTTAATTTTCCAATGGTCGCGCCTTTATTCGCAATACCAAAAGGCACGCGTCTTATTGAGTCAGATATTATAAATTCAGTATTTTGTACATTATTACGTATTGATAAAATTTTTAATATATTTATTTATACTATAAATTAAATATAATTTCTTGCTTTCCGCTGGAAGATTATGAATAAACTTGTTAACATTCACAAACAGGTTTACTCCTTGATAGATGGACTAATAATACAAGTATTCAGGATATAGTATATATAGTTTTATCAAGAAAATAACATGTAGTCCAATTCTATTTTCAAATTACTAACATTTGTCTAAAACAGGGGTGTCTAGTCTTTTTCGTCCTCCGGCGACATTGAGGACTATTACAGATCCCGCGGGCCATCGCTTGTCAAGAAAAAAAAAACTTCTATAAATGACTCATCATTGTTTTTCTTTTATCTTATGCTTCGATAGCCTTGAGCCGATAAGCTTCAGTTGTCAAATGGATTTCAAGACTCATGCCATAAATGGTGTAGTATTTCATATTATTTGGATAGTTATTAAAATTTTATAACGTGATGTAATAAAAGAAACTTTCGCGGGGCGTATTTTGGAGATCATTGGTCTAAAACTAAGTAAATGACTTCATTTAATCGTAAACTATAATTTTTCAATTTCATTTACCTATATAAGAGTAAGTATTGCGAACGTGATTATTTTCGAATCTGAGTTTTCAACTGAAATACACATTATGAGATCCTCTGAGTCCAAATAACCAAGTCTCGCAAAATGGTCTGTGTGGGTATGTGAGTATGTGAACAGCCTAGCTCAAAAACGAAAAACTAAACGAAATTGAAATTGCGTATTTGAGGTTTTTATAATCCTTGGATATTACAGCAATATTTTCGTCAAAATCGGCATATTTTGACGATTTCATTAAACTCAGTATATCAGTGTATTGTTAAGCAGTTTTTAATATAATATAGGTTTTATTCTCATTGATATCCTCTAACAGGGCTTAAATGGCTAATTTTCAATATTAGGTTCCTCTAAAGTGCCTTTAATTTTCTTATTTGAAATAGTTAACCATTTCACATTAATTATTGATACAAAAAAATAGTTAAATATAGGATATGATAGAATTAGATTATTAACTGAAGGGGATATAAGAGACCGTCACGGATAATAGTTGTAATGAAAGAACCAAAGGAATACGAGCTCGCTTGAAAGAGTACATACGTAACATGAGCTTAATATAATAGTCCGACAATACTATGTATATATACATATGCGGTTTTCTATAGAATACAGAGGTATACAAATTAAAATTTGTCTATATAGGGGTATTTAAAACAAATAAAAATACCCAAAATGAAATGTGAATAAATATAGCATCTATAATTTTTATTTTTACTTCCCCTTTGTCGGAAAATACTTATTTCTGCTAAGAAAAGGGTTGTAAGTGAAAGTCGAGTGATGCGAGCACAAGATTTTTTATTTACGAATGAAGATTACGGGTTAGCTGTGTTAATTTAATGAGGTACTAAATACTCATAACTGCTTCTGCTTTTCAGTAAAATCGTAACATAATTTGATAAGAAAATCAAGAAAGAAGTAATCTACAAAAATACATGGCCGTTTGGTCAAAATAACTGCGTTATTAAGGCATGTTGTGATTAAAAGTCTCGTCGTATGGCCCAATATTCCTCCTCCTCCTCCCCCCCCCCATTCCGATATATTTCCTTTTTCTCGATTTTTTGATAAAATTATCTTATGATTCAATTGATTATAAAAATTGAAGGTTTCGATAAAATGAAGTTATTCACGAAGTTTTAGTCACGTGTTAATAATTTGTGAAAAGATTTCCAATTTCTATATTGAATTATAGTATTTTCCTTCACAATAAATGTCATTAGTACCAGTGATAAAAGAGTTCATTTACACCACATTTGCAATAAATGAAAATGAAATAATCGCTAAATAATAATATTAAAAATAAATATAAACAAGAAGCAAAATAACTAAAATAAGCACTGTAGAATAATAAAAAAATGAGATACAGATGATTTATTTTTCATTTTCTTTTTTTTTTTTACATTTTGTTGAACCAAAAAAAAAAATGATGGGACATTTTAATTATTTAAGTTCCACTATATTTACTGATATTTTTTGTTACACTGGATAAAGATGATAAAGGATAGTCAAGTTCATAAAATATCGAATTAATATTACCTCTATACTACCAATATACCTATTACCTATTACTTATAGTTTATATATTACCTATAAACTACCAATGGGTAGTTTCTCTTTGTGTTGTATATGCCATGTTACTTATTTCATATTTACTTGTTGTATAT